CACACACTCTATGGCTTTTTTTTTTTCAACAAATATTTACTATTTATGATTAATCAGAGTAAATTTTCAGTGAAAAGACAACTCAACTAAATCAGTGTCAATCCTGCTGCCATATTGTCTTTTGCCCTCTCCTTACAGATGCGTTCAAATCTGACAACGAAATAAATCCAAATGTGGCAGTGTGCCATTTTAACGGGGAAATTGCAATGATGTGATTGCCGTTTTTATTGTCAGTTTAGTCAGCTGCAGGTCAGACGTGACTGTTTCCCTGCAATCGAGCAGCTGTGAGTGATTAACATTGTTCCCAATCAGAACTGGACTGTAGTCTCTCATGTTTTACAAGTGCAGGCTGTGTTTGGCAGGCTGTTGCACTACTGCACCTGCAAGCATTAACCGTTCCATCTACTTCTGTCATAAATCTGTCAACATGTTTAAAAATATGAAGCAAATTCCCAATTATAAAGTAGTAGCAAAAACATATAATGTGTTATCAGTATTCTTTGGTGGCTATTTTGCCCATTCTGCCATCATTTGCTCACCCTCACGCTTATGTAAAATGCAAAAGAATATAGTTGGGGATTTTTCATGCTTCTCTTTTCCACTCAATGAATGTGGATGGGGACGAGGTCCTGTCAAGCTCCATAAAGGCAAAAACAATGTAAAAGTGGTCCATACATATGCACTATATTCCAAACCTGAAGCCATATGTTGAGCTTAATGTGAGGAACTGACAGAAATGTAAGTAATTTAAGTTCACTTTCATTGTATGGAAAAGAGAAGCTTGAATAAAGCAATAAGCCCCAAGAAGCCGTGGTTTACAGTGAATTTATAACAGCTAAGGGGGTTTTAGGCACTCCGTTAGCTGTTATAAATTCACTGTAAACCACGGCCTCATGGGGCTTTTATAAAACGGTTATTCCATATACGTAGTAAGGTTTCACAGAATAAAGTGTAATGATATTAATAAAAACAGTATTCTTCCACCAAACAATGTAGTTCCTCAGAAACAGTTGTGGTTCCAACAAAGCGGTTGCCGAGCAACACACACAAGTAACCAAAGGTGTATGTTTGTAGTGTAATTTACAACAGCTTCGAACGCGGCTCAACCAATCAGAATCAAGGACCGGAACTATCCATTTTATAATATTCACATATGTCATACAGGTATCAAAAGACATAGGGGAGAATAAATTCTGACAGATTTTTCATTTTTGGGTGGACTACTTCTCTATAATATTAGGCTAAAAAGGCACTTTCCCCCCTCAGACATTATCCTTATCTGTTAAATGATTAGGCCCATTTATCTTGCAATGTGCAAAATCTTAACTGGCACTCAAAGCCAAATTTTAAAGTAGTTTTGCTGGTCTCAGATTTCACAAGACCTCCACATGCAGCCAAGAATAACTACATGATTTGTTACTCTTCATACAAGACAAAGTGAGCTGAGCGATCAAATGTATTAGGTTAGAGAGCAAGAACAATTCCCCTTTCACTGAATGTGACGGGGTTAAATTCTCACCTTGGATGGTAAAAGCTTTCAGAAGCTGACTTCCTTCCAGAAATGTTGAATTTTCGATCATACATAAGCTCAGTTTTGTGTCCTTGAGGCTAGTTATGTTAGCATATTCGCTACAAAGCATAAACACGTAGGAATTGTGCCTAATAATGTAAACAAATCAAATAAAGCGCAGTAGCGCACACTGTTGGATTGGGTTGTGTAGTTCATACCTTGACCCTGAAGGTGGCGCACCTCATTCACAGGACTGCAGTAGCAACATTGCAGACAGGGTTGCCAAGAACTGGGCTACTTTAAACTTGCCAGGAGACGGTTTATGATTACTACTGCGTGTAATGCATAACAGTAACTAAAATATGTATTTTATGTATGGGAGTGGAATATTTTAAGTTTTGGTATTTTATTTTATTTGAAATAAAACTTTGGCTAGTTTTGATTGGCCATTAAGCTGGTTCTGTTGCGCAGATCTGGCAACCCTGTTTGCAAGGTACAAATAAATACACCCTGCCATTAGTTGTTTCTTCATGTGTGACGACTCACGCAAACGAAAAATAACATCAGGCAAACATCATTTGTCAAAATCATTTATTTACTATAATACATAGCTGATGATGTTAAAATATTTAGTTTGTACATCATTTGAGACAGTCATATGAACATAATGTTGCTCTTTTCTTTTAAACTACACTAAATGGAATCCTAGCAGCTGCACACTTACCCTATTGAGCCCTTTCCTCCGTTTTAGTGAGTCAATTGAGATAAATCTTGTAATTTCTGTTCCCATCCATTCACATACAAGCATCACAACTAAACACCTCTGAGTTGTGCCGTATTCCACGCAAAAACTGCAAGCTTTATAAACAGCATCTGTTACAGTGGAACAAAATTCAGTACCATCTAATAAAAAAACAAACAAAAAAGTTTTATTCATATAGGGAATTAAGTACAGTCAATGGATCTAACCCCGAATTTTTATACATCATACCACAAAGAAATCTGATTATAGGTTTTACAAGATTATTCAGAGCTCCAGTACCCCGGGATTTTGATTTTGCCAGCCATCAAACGATGCAGACATATCTATATCTATATATAGATAGATACAGATATATTTATATTTTCCTATTGTAGGGAAACAAAGTCAAAATATGATGAGTCGAACTATGGCATGACACAAACGAACAAATATAACAATTTTACCCCAGTTTAATGTTCCCTCAAACAAGTTAGATTTAAAACCAAAACAAAACAAAAAAAGTCTTGCATAAAAACAGTTAAGCATTTGTTTTTTCTCTCTTTCAGTTATTACAAGTGGCAAAGAACATGCAAATTCAGTTTAAGAAATGAATCAACAGAACCATAGAAATTTTGAAGGAACATGAAACGAGACTGAGATAGCCGGGCGTCTTCTGAAGCCTGGATCTCTGAGATGTGCCAAACTGTTGCAGTGGGCTGTTTCCCTTTCTGTGGTTTCCAGAGTACGAGGGGTTCCCAGTTCAAAGTCTGTAGGACAAAGTGCATCCTAGGCAGGTGCCCCTGATTTTATAAACTCCTATTAGTTCAATCCCAAACGCTGTGGGATACCACCACCCCAACTACAACTGCTGTCTTTAAGATAAAAATATCCTAAAAATATATCTTTAGTCCATTGTAAAACAAAAAGGGGACAAACACAAGCAGAAAAATGGCACATTTTGCCATTACGGCAAGCCGTGCATGTGGTGTTGGTTTTAGTGAGTGATTGACAGCTCCATTGTCTTTCAAAACAAAAAAAAGTTTTATAAATATATCTTCCTTATGTTTGCCATGTTTGAAATTAGTCAATGTGCACATTTACTATGTAAAATTAACAGACATTTTCTTTACAGTTTTATTCAGCCTCTCATTCAGAATGGCTGAGGAACAGAAAAAAAACTGGGGACAGGGAGGTCTAATGCAAGTCAAATCTTCCTTTGTACATTTTTTTTCACTTCTTATTTTAAGAGTCTTATACGCACACGTACAAGCCAAATGGGGGTAGGGGGTCTATATGAGGGGTTCTGGGGGCAGCGGGTGCTGGATCTGCTGTGGTTGGAGGGGAGGAGGGAGCTGCAGGGCCAGCAGGGACTCTAAGCCGTGGCCGTGTGGAGGAGGCGTCCCCTCGGCGCTGGAGGGCTCTGTGATTTCACCACCATAGAAGAAATACTGGCACTGCTGGATGAAGGTCTCGATGACGGACTGGTTGAGTTTGGTGGTGGATAGCGTGTCCTTGTTCTCA